AAACCTTAAAATAAAACAAGTGAATTAATGAATAGCTTTTCCGTAACTTCTTGGAAGTGATGTTTCGATTTTGAGATGAAGACCAATCTAAGCACCTGCAATTATCAGATTATCCAAAAACAAGTTGATTTTCATATAATTAACAGATTGGTTTACAGGGTGTCCCAAAATAAAGTTGTGCACGCAGATAACCTTTAATTTCTCGAAAACTATATGCCATATTTCATCTTGATGGAGCATATTTATTATACTCTAATGTGTATAATCAGTAAAAATGCCAGGAAAATCCGTTCATTCAAACCAGAGATCTAACAGAAAAGGCTATGGCCATATGGGTTTTTCACCCATTCCAATGGGATGGGATTTACAAAGTTAACTGTTCATCAGAGTGAAAAGGCCCATGACAATTTGATGCACTGATATCAAATCCCAGTAGAATGGGTACGTGAAACAACACACAGCCTTTTACAATCTGTTAGATCTCTGGTTTACATGAACAGATTTCCATGGCATTTAAAAAAAAAATGATTATACACAAGAGTATAATATATCGTCACCGTTTTCACGAAGAGCCACATATGTCAAAACTACCATTTTTTCGATTTTGATTTTTTTCAATATTTTGCTTTAAAACAATGTACTTAACCATTTTGACATGTTTCTGTGAGCAAAACACCATTAATTTCCAAGTTACATTAATGTTGCAAGGGGCCAAAATCTCGATAAATGAATTTTGCGTTTTCACGAAGAGCCACATACACTTTGGCCCTTTGAACGCGTACAAAACCCATTGCACGGAAATACGTAAAAGTAGGTCAAATGAGATTTGCGTTTTCACGAAGAGCCACATATCTTTGTTACATTTTCAGCTGCGCGCGCGTACTCACGCGCGCCTATGGAAATACACGTTGAACAGAAAGGGCCAATATGTCGGAAACCTATGGGCGGCCATTAGGGCAAAAAAGACAATCACAAAATTAAAGTTTAGCAAAAATAAAATAAATAAAATGCAAAAAAAAATAAACAATAACGTACAATTAACAATGAAAATGTAGGACAACAAAACAAAATTGAAACGTAAAAAATTTAAAAAAAATAAACATAAAAAATAACACATTCATGTTAAATGTACAATAAAACACAAATTAAACTAAACCCAACATTACTGTAAGCCCCGCTAAGAATGTAAACCCCAAAATTACTGTAAGTATCGCCACGAATGTAAACCCCAAAATTACTGTAAGCCCCGCGACGAATGTATACCCTAAAATTACTGTAAGTCCCGCGTCGAATGTATGCCCCAAAATTACAGTAAGTCCCGGCCGCAACGAATGTATACCCCAAAATTACTGTAAGCCCCGCGACGAATGTATATATCCCAAAATTACTGAAGTCCCGCGTCGAATGTATACACATTACTGTAAGTCCCGGCCGCGACGAATGTATGCCCCAAAATTACTGTATTAGTCCCGCGACGAATGTAAACCCCAAAATTACCTTAAGTCCCGCGACAAAATTGTAAACCCCAAAATTACTTAAAGCGGGGTACCAGTCTACATGGACTGGTATACAACAACCCATCACTGCTGCGTGGCCGCGCTACATAGACTGTACACGTGCAACTTTTGCGTTTATTTGGAGGGGGCGTAATCATACATGAAAAGCCACTATGTTACATGTCAAGTCGGATGGATCTTTGTTGCATTCGCGTTTTTCAAATTTGTCTCTGAAATACGCTCTAGGCATTATGTGCCTACACTGGTACCGATATCCATACCAGTGTAAATCAACAGAATTTCCCCCTTCAACTTACAAGACTTATAGTCATGCTGGTCGCAAGATAAAGTCAAAAATGTTCATCAGTTCGCAGAGCCTTCGGTCCTCAGATCATTTGACTCCTTTCCCAAAAAGTAAAAAGAAAGAGGAACGCTCCTGCTGATGCTGATAACAAAACACAATTTTATTCCCCGTTAAATCAACTTTACTTCACGGCGGCAAATTGGAAAGTTTTCTTGGAATTTTCCAGCAATGGAAATTATTCCCTGAACTTAGGCCTGCACATATCAGTCCATCCTTGCTATGTTCTCAGCTATAAATCACTTCTCAAAAAAGAAAAAAATGCCCAATCTGACAAAATTAATTGATCATGGTGGCTGCCCCCCCCCCCAAAAAAAATGTCCCCTCCATCCGACTTGACATGTAACATAGTGGCTTCGTGTATGATTACGCCCCCTCCAAATAAACGCAAAAGTTGCACGTGTACAGTCTATGTAGCGCGGCCACGCTGCAGTGATGGGTTGTTGTATATACCAGTCAATGTAGACTGGTACCCCGCTTTAAGTAATTTTGGGGTTTACAATTTTGTCGCGGGACTTAAGGTAATTTTGGGGTATACATTCGTCGCGGGACTAATACAGTAATTTTGGGGTATACACTCGTCGCGGGGCTTACAGTAATTTTGGGGTTTACATTCGTCGCGGCCGGGGCTTACAGTAATTTTGGGGTATACATTCGACGCGGGGCTTACAGTAATTTTGGGGTATACATTCATCGCAGGGCTAACAGTAATTTTGGGATTTACATTCGTCGTGGGGCTTACAGTAATTTTGGGGTTTACATTCGACGCGGGACTCACAGTAATTTTGGGATTAGTTTAATTTGTGTTTTATTGTACATTTAACACAAATGTTTATTTGTTATGTTTAATTTGTGTTTTTATTTTTTTTACGATTCAGTTTTGTTTTGGGTTTCTTTATTTTGTTGTCCTACATTTTCATTGTTAATTGTACGTTATTGTTTATTTTGTACATTTGATTTTATTGTATTTCTGTTTAACTTTAATTTTGTGATTGTCTTTTTTGCCCTAATGGCCGCCCATAGAAACCTGAATTTGCGTTTTCACGAAGAGCCAAATATATTTACTAATTAATTTTCACTAATTAACTGCTGAATTAAGTCTTATTACTGGGTTCATGTAAAATTCAGCTCACACAGAATAGTGTGATGGTTTCCTTGCTTCACAAAGTTGTTGCAAAGTGGTATTTTTTGCAGTTTTAAAATATGATAAACTTCTTTTGCGATTATCTGGAAAACACTTTTTCTTCAAAATCGACATATGTGGCTCTTCGTGAAAACGGTGACGATATGCTCCATCAAGATGAAATACTCATGCTAAGTAGTTTTTGAGAAATTAAAGGATATCTGCTTGCACAACTTTTTGGGACACCCTGAAGAGTATGCAAAATGTATCTTGTCAACATCTTTGAATGTTTAAACAATAAAAACAATCAGACTGTTATCTAGCCTGTCTTAGATTAGTTTCAAATGTTCCTGTTTGGTCACATACCAAGTTTTACAAGTATCAAGACTGACAACGCCTTCATAGCTAGACCTTCGCGAAGGACAAACGATCATACACATTCAACAATCTGAGGGATTTCCCACAATTTTTTTTTCGTATTATTTTACGATGATATTCCGGGAAGAAGTGTGATATTACTGGCAGTGTTGTCGTCGAGACCTCCATGTCCGAGACCAAGGTTGAGACTGAAACTGAGGCATTCGAGACCAAGACCGCGGACTTCCGAGACCGAGACTTTTGCAGGCAGAGACCAAGACCGAGACCAAGACTTAGACCAAGACTGAGCAATTAGCTTAAAGAACAATAAAAAAAATCTCAGAATTCCAAATAAAGAATTGGAAGGTTGAAAAAGTAAATAAATATTTTGGATGAGTTTCCTACCCTGTTGATTTATATTTAATGAATGTAACTAGCTTGAAGGGATTGTACAACATTTGACTTTGCTGCAATTTTCATAAAAGGATTTGGAGGATTTGTGTTCTAGCAAATATTGTTAAACTGACTTGTTGCACGTTTTGGGATTGTAGATGCTGGAAAAACCAAGAAAACCAATCATGTTCTTGTAGTCTGGTTCCCTGACCCCACTTAATATGAAACAGAGCAATTTATAGACTTTGGGGAATTGTAAAGTCAGAGAATCAGTCTATAGCAGGCTTGTACCCCTTCAAAGGTGTGTAATCAATTGTAAAGAAAATGCGGAATAACTAATAAGGAAAAAATAGGAGCAGTTTTTGAAGGAAAAAAACAGTTTTCTCCAACGTTGGTCGGTCGACCAGCGTTGGAAATTTTTTTTTGGAAAATGTCAGCACACCAGGAGCCACGATTTTACTGGATGCTTATTTAGACTGTCATTCCCTAACTTTCCAGTAAGGTATTTCGTGAGAATTTGATCATTTCGTTTTTTGATGTTTGCAAGACTTTGTATTTTCCCTTTAATGCAAGAGCTTGAAAAAAGCAGTCGCTAAAATGTTGTCAGTCAGGGCCCATCAGTTTCTGCAGGTCTTGAAGTTTTTAAATTACAACTGTACAGTCGCGTAGGTCTAAAACGGTCATGAAGCAATGAACGTAATACATTGGGCTGGATCATTTCATGGGGATGGGGGGGGGGGCGCCATGTAGATCAATGATTTTTTTTTTGAAACTCAAAATCTCCGTGGGGGGGGGGGGGGGGGCGACGGGGGGGGGCGACAAGGTTTCATGGGGGATGTCGCCCCCCCCCCTCCCCCGTGGCTACGCTACTGCACTGAGCCCTCCCGAGACCAAGGCCGATGACCGCTAAAAAAAAGGTCTCGATTCTGGTCCCTCTGTGTTGGCTGATTTGGGGTCGTCCACAAGGTACGTTACGCACGTAGTTAGAGACAAGTGTGTTTATCATATTCCAAAACAACGTACCTCTGCAACATACAGCTGACTTCTCTAAACGTGATCTATTTTTTTTGTGGTTACTTTGAACAGTGTCTTTTGGTCGAAAACGCAATATTTGTATAAATTTTACAGATGTGAATCAACTCGGATTTGAGCATTTACGGTGGTCACGGTGATCGCCATATTTATTTCCGAGTTGTATTTTGTCATCTTTGTCATTGTTTTACCCCCCCCCCCCCCCAAAAAAAAAATCAACGGCGACACAGTTGTTGGCGCTAACTAGTTTGGTACTAGTTTCATAATAACTACACAATCGCCAATAAAAAAAACTGCTTCATTAAGCCGGGTAGCATAGCAGATTCGTAATGCTTTGTATTAAACGTACAGTGCGGTTGAACCACTACGTGTGTACAGGGGTGGGGACGGGGTCTAAATAGTCAACATTTCGTGCGTACGTAGTTTATGGGCGGTCCCTTTACGACAAGCAGTCCGTCCGCTAATTCGTGTAGACTGTGGAATATAGCCGCTTCCGCAAATGCATCTATGATATATTTATAGTCACATAAATTTGTGTTCAACAGGCCAAGACATAGTTTATATTACATGAGGTTAATCAGTGGACTAACATCACCCAGAAACACAAACACGGAAGACCGGAATAAAGAAATTGGTAAATAGCACCCTCTATCGGTCAAGTGTAGAGCAGATATACAGCTCTTACATGTATGATCAGCTGGTCAGCCTCGAGTGGTTCACCGTCCATGTCTTCGGGTTTCTGAGCCTGAATGATGTCTTCCTTTATCTGATCCATAGGATCCCTTTCTTCAACTGTATTCTGATCCATAGTATCCATTTTTTGAACTGTATTCTGTGGACGGATATGGAAAAAAAAATTACGGAAGGAAACAAATGTGACCTGCCTGTATGAGGTAATGGATTAATTTTGCACCGCTTCATTATGTAAACAAGCGTCAGCATGAGCTTAAGTTCAGAATTAATTGTTAGTTTTAGCCCCATTAGTTTTTTTTGCTGTATTAGCAACTTTCAAACAGTATTTTAGAGCTTGAGACATGGTGAATTGCTCAGCATCTACGAATCCTTAAAAAGCAAACACATATCATCAGACAGTAAAATCAGCCCCACACAAGACCGAGTGCGACACACACGAGTATTAACCCTTCGAGCTTCAAGCCCCAAAAAATTACGCGGTGGAACCACCATGAGAATTGTATCACATTACGTGTTACTAGGTCGATAACCCTGGCATGCCTGTACATGCACAAGATATAGGTCATTTACATGGCCAGGGATTGTTTACAACCTGTCTGGGATCTGGGCGGCACGAGGGGTTGACACAAAGGGATCGGCGGCACTTACGGGTTGGCCACGGATCTCCAATCACAAAGGCATCAACCGCTATCTTGGCTTCTGTCTTTCAACACTCCGTGCTCCGGAGTGGCTAGGGTCTGGCCAATGGGAGTCTACAGGCTTGTGGTGTATAGTAGGGGTGAGGATTACATGGAAGCTTGGCCTTATTGGCCCATTGAAAAAAAAATATGACCATATTTGGAAAACAATGAAAATTTTTACACTGCGCCGCTGCTCGAAGGTACACTCATATACATTGTAGTTTACTATTACAATGTACTATCGTTAAACCAGGTATAAGCTTTTCAACAGTATTTGTTTCAGACCATCTTACCCTCTGTGGTTTTCACTCGTCCTTTGTTTCCCCCTATTGATGCTGACAACACTGTCCTTGCCCTATGACGTAGCCTATATTTACATATTTATTTCAATATGTTTAATTTTGGACCATCTGTACATTTCTTCAAGTAACAGATAATAATTATAACGATGACGTCATAAAACGAGATAGCTCAGTCTAAGTTATAAGTTTATAATTTTTTATAGTTAGGTAATAATTAGCTGATTACGTCATTATGATGTCATATATTGCCCGGCATCCTACCTTCTTTCGAAAATCCATGCCATGGTCATGCTCTTGAGTGGGCTGAGTCTTGCCGATGAACTTGTACAGCTCACGCCGCTGGACCATCTCCAGAATGTGACGGGACTCAGCCAGGGCTGGCTCATCGGAACGCATGATCTGAAGGATGATGTCGTCGGTCATGTTGGTGTAGGCAACCATGTCATCGATCGCTTCCGACATCTGCAACATGTTGCTGTACAGGGTGTATAAAAAAGGCAATCCAAAAATAACGGACAAAGTTAACACTCATACATTCAAGTGGAAATAATTACTAAGTAATGATTGGGGCATTACCTTCCTTAATCCTGGCAAAATACTCTAAAAACTCCTTGACGATTTTAAAGCAATGCATTTTCAAATAACCTTGTATTCGAATGCTCAAAACCGCTTTCGACATAATATTTGCGTTTGCTCTTAAAATAACCTTGTATTCGAATACTCAAAACCACTTTCGACCGAATTTGCATTCGCTCTTAAACCCATTGAAAAATCTCGAAAATTAAGTTGATATTTTTACTCACCCTTCCTTTCCTTTGACCAAGAAGTGATCGTTTGCCTTCACTAATGCTTCAACAAGCCTAGATCAAAAAATAAAATTTAAAGAAAAGAGAAAGACAGAAATTAATTTCAGTCCACTAAAGATAAATCGGAACATTTCGAAAATTAAATTATTAATTTAATTATCTGTCAACATTGGGGGAACGGGGGAACAGGCAGTAGCTTTAAAGTTTGTATGGGTGAGTTTGTCTTACATTCACTATGTGGACTTTTGAACAAAAGATGTCCACATAATGCAGGTTGTGTTGACGTCATGTGGACTAAGCCGTGTCCACATAACGTTTCGCCCTCTCTGGAAAACAGGTTTAGAGGCATTTTGGGGATAGGTTTATCCGTGGCAAACTGAAGAGAAACACTAAAGGGGATCATAGAAAAAAAAATTGGGTTGGAAGAGTTTTCACAGTTAAAGTAAAGTTATTTTTTTATATCGACTTTTCTTAACTTCACGAAAACAAAGAATGTCCACATATATAGCGTATGTAAAACAAACACGTGCGTGTGTGTGAGTATGTAAACACCGGAAATTGTGGACGTAGGACAAAAGTATTGGGGCGCAAACAATACGTCCACGATTGACCGAACTTCCACGATCTCAAATCGTGTACAAAACAATGGGGCGTCCACGATTGCCGGCATTTACACACGGGTGGGTGTGTGTGTGGGGGTGAGTTTGTCTTACATTCCCTATGTGAACTTGTGAACAAAAGATGTCCACATAATGCAGGTTGTGTTAACGTTATGTGGACTAAGCCGTGTCCACATAACGTTTTGCCCTTTCTGGAAAACAGGTTTAGAGGCATTTTTGGGTTAGGTTTATGAAGAGAAACAACATAGGGAATCATAGAAAAAAAAATTGGGTTAAAAGAGTTTTCACAGTTTAAGTTAAGTTATTTTTTGTACCGAGTTTTCTTAACTACACGAAAACAAAGGAATGTCCACACAAGGTACGTAACGTGTGTGTGTGGGGGGGGGGGGGGGTGAACACCAGTGAACTTTCGAGGGCGCTGTTCCAAGATGGTGGATACAACCATCGACCTTATCGTTTTTGGCACTGCGCATGTGCGCGCAAAGGACAGTAGGTAATTGTGTTGGTAACAAGAATTAAACAGCTGATTTTGTTCGTTACGTGTGTGGTCGATCGCTTGTCGATCGTACTTTAAATATGTAAACTTCTACTTTTTAATTCAAGCGGAAAGAACAGCATTTCCAGAGTTTCTCCTACCTCTACCATGGCCAGCAGATCTGCAGGGTAAACGGTTCCTGTTCCTCCACAAGTAAGAGTAACTTTCAAAATGTGTTTTTAATGATATTAAAAAGGTGTCTCTTCATGAATCTCAAAAAAGAAGGGCATGAAGGGAAGGGTAGGCCACTCTGTAGGCTAACGGGTCAACTCCCAGTCTAATTCGTACCCGAGTCAACTCGTACCCCAAAATTTACACCAAGGACGTCAACTCGTACCCCTGTCAACTCGTTACGGAGTCAAGTCGTACCCGGCAAGTTGTACCCTCTTAATTTTGAACATTAACTTTGAAAGCAAACAGGCAAACAAATAAAGGCAAAACTAAAAGCCTAAATAAAGCAGAAACAACTTGAACTCGTACAGCAATAGGTCCACCCACCCATAAAAAGTGGGTACGAGTTGACCCCGCTACGACTTAAACTGGGTACGAGCTGACTCCAGTACGAGTTGACGTGGGTGCTTGTTAAATTTGGTACAAGTTAACAAACAGTCTTCTAATCTCAGCTCGAAATTTGTTAAAACGTAAAACAAAATGGCGGCCGTGCGATGCAATTTTGAAGGAAAACAAGCTCTCATTGGACTGTATATAGCTACTTTGAAATTTCAACTCTAATATTCCGGTCTAATTTATAATTATTCAATGAATTTTCTATTTACAACTTTACACACATTGGCTCGGTATTATAATCTCGTTAATGTAATGTTTATGGCATAAAACTGGCTTAGAAATGACTCTTCTTATTTTGCGATGACCACTACACACGTCGTAACTTGCGACGTGTTTTAAGCCGTTGTCAATGAACTGACGACGCGTTCAACACATCACAACTTTCGTGAAATGGAAGATACGACGCGTCGCGAGTTGCGACGTGTTACACGTCGTAACTCGAGTTGCGACGCGTCGCAGCACTTTGTGAAATCGGGTGCTGGGCGACTATCGAATTTCTGTAGTCGCGAATAGTGACGATAAATAGTCAAGCCTCTGGTTGGGGAGGGGTTGGGGAAATAACCACGTTCTGATTTTTTTCTGTACGGTAGATAACCCCCAACACATATCTTCCCACTCCAAAACAATTTGGAGTGGAAAGATATTTGTTGGGGTAAGTAAAATAACGGGGGGGGGGGGGAATCAGTTAAAGTTATGTTTCTGCTATCACAAGTGAGAAAACTGAAGAAAAGTCTACATGTACAGGTACTTGGAATCAAAACAGAAGCAGATTTTTTTCATCAGTAGTTTTAAAAACTGCATTTGTTTTTTTTTCCCAAAAAATGTCATTTTTAACCCAGAAACAGAACAAATGAATGATGCTGTAACAAAATTGAGAACATTGAAGGAGAGTCTGCTTGAAATCAAAACTGAAGAAAGATTTCCTAACAGGTATTTTTAACACTGTATATATGTTTTTTGTGGGTTTTCTGGACCAAAAATGTCATTTTAAACCCAGAAGCAGCACAAATAAAAAAAATCAATTGTCTTGATTACGGACCTGGTACAGGTTGTGTATTAATAAAATATTGTACAATGCACTGCAAATTGTGTCAGTTTGAGTTTTTTTGGTCCAGGATATCAGTAGGCCCTACTACTGTGTTTTTGGTTAATTCTACAAAGCAGAAAAAAAACCAATTTTTATTATTAGCATTGATATAATTAAATATATAATTTGAATTGAAATATAAAAAACAACTACCCAGGTACAATTACCTAAAATTGCAAGGCGATAAAAACTCGGGAACCCTGGAAGTCATTTGCTTCTTGTGACGAAGCAAAAGATTTTTCAATTTCATTAGTAAAGCCGTTTTTCTCGACGAAAAACTTTTTAATATAATTGAGAAATCGCACATGTCAAAAAATCATAAAAACCCAACGCATTAAATAACATAATTGTTATGTCGACTCATGTTATAACGAGCTCGTCATAACGATACCCGGATGAAACGAGCACATTATCCCAGTCCCGATCAATTTGTGTACACTACTATGGGGAAATATTTGGTTATTACGGGCACGGTCATAACTAGACTTGGGCTATTACGACGATTTTGGCCGACCCAATGTCATTTACAATGACATTTTTTCAAAACTACGGACATTGCAGCTTTTAAGCTTCACCCATCAATGTACCTTTGTAAAGACTTCAACCCAACGTTATTTCATCTCGCTGATCTTTAAAAATAAATTCAATGGGACTGTGATAATTGGCGCAGTGGACCGCTGGTCTAGTCGCTAATCCCCCGCGTCGGTTTCCCTCGCATGACCAGGGTTTGAATTTGAATTTGAAACTGCGGTACCACATTTCTAGATTATTACAAACGGACAATAGGGGGCGCTCAGAAGATACGTGTTAACATTGTAAGGAATAGCCTTTAGTCTGCCCCACTGTGCATAATTGCTCCCTATTGTTGGCTTGTTAAAAAATACGTAAAAGAAAGAATAACACCATGTCTTTTGTTATTGCGTGTCAATCAATCTGGACCAACTGGGAATACATGTATAAGGAGGGGATTTTTTTTCCGAGAGGCCATACGTTTATCATACTCCATCAAGACAACTGCATGTCAAGATTAAACTGCAATGGCTTCATTTTGCGCGCCAGTATGGTATCGTTTCAAGTACCCTGGCAACCATCCTGAAGAACTGAGAAAACATCATGTCAAACTTTCAGTCTTCAAAGTTTGATCCCTCACGAAAGAGATTTCGCACTGCTCCTTTCGAAGATGTCGAGGAGGCCCTTCTCCGTTGGTTTCGTGGGACCCGAGCCAAGAATCTTCCTGTCAGAGCCACCACAACTTCAAAAGCAGAAGTTTTGAAGAATAAAATGATAAGGTAAACAAATTTAATTGACCTGTTCCAGGGCAACGGAGGTCTGATATGCTCTTCCCACTTGGAAATTATTTTAATGGACACCTGAATAACAGTAGTACATGTGTGCAGTTTCAATTCAACCTGTTGAACTGTTTTGTTGTCGTGGTCAGTTAAAATCGGCACTCTCATGCGCCCTCCGATGTACGTTATGGAGCATGTAATGGAAAAGTTAACATTTAAGCCTATACCTGTTTTGGTATTTGAACATTTTGAGACGCCGCTCTTAAGATAATTAGTCTAACCAAAATGAACTCTTTAGTCATATTTTCATGTTCCACTAGTGCCAAGGCATCAATAAAATGATTTCATTTTCCCAATTTAAATTTTGTAGTACATTGGCACTGTTTCAATTCGATCTATTAGTCGGCACTGTCATGCACGCTTTCATGTGCATGTACTTTCCAATGGGAAAAGTTAACATTTAAGCCCACCTGTGTCGGAAATGGACATTTCGTGACGAAGTTATGCCCTATTTTTATAAACTAGGTGTCAAAATAACCGCAAGACATCAGAACATCTATCAAAGAACCTTGGCAGCATTTAACAAATGCTTTACGACGATAGTAGCCAAAATGTACATGATGGGGGGTTGAGGCCCTGCCCCCTGTGCGCTTTTCCCGCCGCTCTTAAGACAGTTAGTCTGACCTAAAACCACTCTTAAGTTATATTTTTACATTCCATGAGTGATCAATACAAACTGGTTTCACTTTTTCCTCTTCCGGCCGTTGCGTTGCAACGGTATCAGCGAAAAGGAAAAGGAGGAGGTGAACGCCACGGCCACCCTCCGCGCTTTTCGGGCTGTTCTTATTAAGTTAATTAGTCTGATCTGCATCATTCTGAAGTTACATTTCCATAATCTACAAGTTCTAAGTTATCACATGATACTGGTTTCGCTCTTGTTCTCAAAATTTTGATTAAATGTAAAATTGGCCCATTTGGTATGGCGCCAATGTGACTTAATCTGATCTAGCAAAACTTAAGGATGGACATTCTGTGATCAGGGTCGATATTACTATGCTTTAAGACAATCAGGGTATTTGTTCCCGAAATTTTGATTAAACATTATTCAGCTCTCAGTCTAATAGCACTGAAAGGATCACCAACAAATTGTACAAGTTGATATGAATGAATGAGGTTTAGTTAATTATTGAACATAATCCCATTTTAAGTTGTCATTTTCGATGAAATAAAACATTGTATTTGGGTCAACTTTATTTTTTAAATGTTTTCATTTCATCAGCTTAGCGTCGTCTGCTGTCGAAAAAGGGACGCGAACATACGGGACAAACTCACATGCTTTCTATGATCTTGACCACCTTGTGCTGGTAAGCGCGGCGGTGGAGGCTGTATCGTGTGTAGAACATGTCGTACACATTTGCCACCTCCTGGAAAGGAAACAGCCAAAAACAAAGAAAATCAGATTTGTTATATTCTTCCAAGTACCATTGGTTCACTGAATCACCTAGTGTGACCAACATTCCACCTGTTAGGCAATACAAACTAGGGTGTGAGACACTTTGCTGGAGATTTTCCCTTGGCTATGCATGCAAAAAAAAAGATCACAAACATTTGAACACGTTGCTTGAGTAGTACGCATCTGTACCAACTATGGCCATTTCAAAAATCTTATGACACGGGGAAACAGGACTAATGCCAACTAACTTAAAGGAAATGCTGCCCGCTCCTACATTCTTACAATTTTGCGTACTTGGTGGACTCAGATATACAGGACACATCCACACTACATGTTTGAGCTCTTTCACTCTAAGAAGATGAAATTCCAAACCAACCTTATCCCTGGTGCATATCTGCTTCTCGCCATCCACCTCGATGACTCGGCAGAACTTCTCGAAACGGCGGCTGTCAAAGCTGCTAGAGATGGCCAGGTTTTCGCAATCTCGCTGGAAGTAATCCCACTTGTCCACGTCGATACCGTTACGCTCGTTGGCAACAATCTCGTACAGGAAGTTCTTGTCCTTATTACGGCCTGTGTCGCGCAAAGGTTTCTGAAAAAGTACAAGATGACTTAAAGTCAAGATTTCTTCTGATGAAGAAGTACGTACGTAGATTCACTCGTACCCCTTGCCCTGCAAACAGGGTGCTGGGAAGGACTGATGAGCTACACACAATCTTGTGAAGGAAGTATACGGATGGCATTCCTGCACCCGATTTCATGAAACTCATCGTATCTTACGATGCATCGCAGCGCTGCGACGCGTCGTTTCCCTACGACGAAAGACAGCCGAGAGTAACATCACAATGGCAACAACTATAGAGCATGCGTGCCTGGTAAAAGAGGAAGTAGGCCTATATAAACTGCCATGCAAAATGGAAGACCGCCATATATGCATCATCACATGTGGGTTGAGTAGGACTCTGTGACTTTTCCCGTGACTTTTTTTTCAGGGGGGGGGGGTTATCAACTTTCCGTGGCATTGATTTCTTTGACTCGATTGTAAAGTAACAAAATTCCATGACTTTTCTGTGACCATCCATAATAGCTTTGAATTCCAGGATTTTCCCAACTGTGGGAAACTTGAAACAATGTTTTGATGTGTATGTTTTGGTATGTATGAGTGTCTTCCGGTTCTTTTCTAGAACCAAACTCACAAGAGAAATTTCCCTTCACAAGTACGTGGTTTTCAGCAAATTTACACATTTTGATATACAAACCTATTCAACTAAGGGTGTATATGCCTGCATTCGGAGACCCCCTATTGTCCCTCTTTTGTTTGTACTTAATAACTGTTTAGGAAGTCCTCCCATATGCTTTGTACACATTGCCAAATTGGGGACCTTCGGGAATTGGGGACCCTAGTGTCCTCTATTGCTCAACGTCTCCTATTGAATGCAGAAACAAAGTCAGTGGTCTTGATTTGCCCAACCTTTAAGAAAAAATCTTAAGAGAATGCTCAACCCACGATGTGTCCCCCCCCCCCCTCCAGAGTAGACGGATATCGACTGCCCCTCTCCTCCCCGCCCCCATTACTTGCTACGTTAATTCTTTAATACATTATTTTGCACCTTTTTTCCCCTTTTAATTAGCTCCTTGATGAAGTTGATGTCTTGGGCGTCTAAACCATACTTGGCAAAGACGTCTATCAGTTGGTTGGCTTCAATCAGATGGTCAAACATGTCCACCGAGGCTTTCTCGTGCTGTAAATATGGTGTGAACAGAAAAATCTAAATAATATCAACAAACACAAAGTAAAACAGATATGAATGATCAGAGTATGACGGGAATTCCTCTGAACCTCCATTTGTTTACAAAAATCATTTCAAATCCCCCCCCCCCTCTCTCTGGCTGGCAATTTCAACAAGGCCAGAGCGGTCAAAATAAAAAGTGACTGTTTTTAACAGTCGAGTGCTGCCAGCCTTCATAAAGCAGGATGGCTGTGATTGTTATGAAACCTGATATAGCTATGCTTTGACTGTTGGAGACTAAGCCAGCTGTGCCTATACTCCAAGTCACGTGCGTTTTTCAGTTGATAGAATCCGACTGTCACAGTGTCATCTACAAGAAATATGATTTGACTGTTGGTGACTAGCCGGTGTGAAAGGCATGACAAGGGGACAGGAATGCATTTGTGAGTGTCTGTGACTGATTAAAGAAAAGGAGGGTTTTATTTCTGTTGCAGACATGGTTTTGTCCATCACATGTCACAAGTCAGTTACCAGTCAACCATAACGGAGAATGTATAGACAAACGAATGTCGTCGTCACAGTTTGTTTAAATTGTTGTGGCAGTCCTAGACTGAAGGACTTGCGAGTGTCACCTGTCTATGTGACGTCCATTATAAAAAGGGTCAAGTTTCTATTAAAGGCCTATTTCTACATGCAGAACTACATGTTTGATTTGGTTGTAACTTGATATGTACGATTAATGTGCTGTCGACGACATTTCAAGTGACGTTATCATGACGTTCATCACGTGCACAAAGACATTTCAAATGTCCCAAACAGCTTGTGTTTGTCCACAAACAGATTTCTAGTTATTTATTGGCTTTTTCGCAAAATGGCGAAAAAAGCCTTTGTTTTGTTCTGACTTGTTTTCTTCTATTTTATCTTTTTGGGTCCACCCCAAATGTACCTATTACCTAACAAACCATTAAAGGTGCATTTAGCTGTCAAAACAGTATTCATGTGCAATTTATGACCATGTTACTATACTTACAAATTCATTGTTTTGATTGAAATGTACATTTGCGTATAAGGATCGAGGTTTTATATAATGAAGGATCGAGGTTTTATATAATGATAAAGCTGATCATAGAATGCCAACACCCTGTTACATAATTCATTAGATGGCTATTGAGTTAAATATATATTATGTAGATTTTGGCCAAACGTCGTCAGTATTTGTACTTGGCAAAAGCCACTATTGACCTTTATCATGCTGCCACCATTTTAGTCATGTTCCCTGTATCCAATAACAGTACTGAATGAGATTTTTTGCGTAAAAAGGAACCAGAGTATTTTTCCTTTCAGCCTCGCTTTTAGTTACGTTGATTTACATGGGAAAAATAAAAATAACGATGGCCGCAACATGATAATGTTCTGCTGTGTTACATCGTTTCATTGGTTCTAGGCTCATATTCCAATATTCGGCAATATTTTTCTATCTAGTTGGGAATCTGGCACTGCAGGCAGGTGTTTTTTTCCTTTTCTGATGGGGCAGTGAATGCCCTATTTTAACTTACCTTCCATTCAGAACCCTGCCTGACAGTCGGAATGAAGAGCTGATCGAACATGTGGGAAAATGGACCATGGCCTGAATAAGAATGGAAAGTAACAACACAGGAATATTTTTTTCAGCGTCCTCATTACTTGCCACTGCTGAAATAACTCACAAGTCTATGGGAAGTGACTACAGATGCTTCCAAAGGTGCATGTGTTACTTCCAGCTCTATTGTCACTCTAATTAATTGATAAAAAAATAATATCTGTTTTCCAGTGGTAATCTATATATATATATAAGAGAGTTTTACTCGGCCTCCGAGACGATGTTTGCTCCTGAAAGGATCCGAGACCGCGGGCTCCCGCGGCGCCAAAATCGCTCCAAGTCCGTGGAAAAATGCGGAGGGTGTCTTCCGCCGGGTCGGACACTTCGGGTCGTCCTAATTTTCCCGTACGGACCGGCGATCCGTTTCGTCTATTTTTCGTTACTGCGTTTTGCGCAGGAATTTGCCGTCGTGTGCGCTTTCACGTTGACTGCCTGGCCGCCCCCTGTGCTGGCTTTTCTGCGAGTCTAGACTGTGCGAGGTCAGCGGCTTTAACGTAGGGGTTCCGTTTACGTGTTCTACTTGGCCGTTCTGCAAAAGTGTTCACCAAACGGCTGTATGGGGTGACCTTGGTAAAATATTTTTTGTCCATGGTGTGTGGCCACCAAGTGTCCCTATTCTTTCATATGCTTTGCTTGCCGCCCCTGCGCTGAGTGCAACGAATACTCAGAATGACTACACATTAGTATGCCTTGCGCGGTCTGACCAACCGAAAGTCTACACTGTGTACTTCCGGGGTCCGCGTAAAAATGTCGATGGCAACGCGTACTGCAGCATGCTCCACACCCTGGAAACGAGGTTGGGTCTACGGTGCTCGCTATTGCACAAGCATGTGACGTCGCGCGATAGAGTGATGTTGCTTCCATAATGTGTTTACAGCCCCACGCTTCCACTAGCTCTATGCTTCCACCTGAGTGTGTGAGTTCGCTGCCCGCCACGTCACGGTATAATGCAGTGTCGCGTTATAATTTCGGGGGCCTGTTTGGGATCAACGAAAGATCGATGCATTGCTTAAAACCAGTGCAGGGCCCGTCGAAAAATGCACCTGTTCGGTAGGGCCAATTTCAAACTGCTCATATCATGCAAACAACACACACGATTCAATTCTGTTGTTTTCACAGGTTAAACTCACACTCATAGGTTGAGCGCACTTATTACATGTCGCCAGGCCATCCCCGGCACTGATATTCACCCATACTGGACAATGGTATCACCCTACAGTGACGGTTGCTCAGTCGCCTGCAAAACGCATGTGCCCGTGCAGCTACTCACGTACGTTCCAGAACAATACTCTGGACAATAATGGACCGATCCATTAAGCTCCGCCCACTTGACAAATTGACCAATCACATGTCTTGATTTATGCTCCGAGAGATCGACCCGGATGTCCACCATTTTGTCTGACATAATTATCATCGTGTCCTATTGTTTAACGCACAGTTCCGTTGGGTTTTTTTTGCTTTTCTCGTCAGCACGTGCAGATTATATAAATTCAACCGGTTTTGTTGCAGTCATGGTTAAGCGTTGTTCTTATGTCCACTGTAAATCAGATTCTCGTTATGCTGAGAAGCAAGAACATTAAGATTTTGGCCGTTTCCAAAGCCGAAGACAAATTTGGAAAAATGTCGACGGTGGGCCAGAGCCTGTGGCGGTCGACGGGGACCGCACGGTCGTGTGGACATCAACAGCATATCGAGGCACTCGTTTGTATGTTCCAAGGTGAGTAGGCCAGGCCTACTACAAAAAGTACTAGGCTTACTACTGTACTGGACTGCACTGTTAAGTGCTAGCTCTTTTGTTTATATTGTGTTTGATCATGGGGGATGTGTTTGCCTTTCCACTCGTCAAGCTCGTGGTCGTGCTCTCGTGGGGTTAAGTGAGCTATTTCATTTAGGCTAACACACTAAGTTATAACAATTAAGATGCTGATTAGTCTGTCAATTATCATGTCTTTTGTTGCCTGAATGTAAACTGGGACACAAATACCGAGTTTTTAACTCTGACATAACATCGATCATTGCGACAGCTAGAGCCAATCATACTGTATGTGAAGTTAATTAATAATTTGATATGTCAATGTCATCTAAAAAAAATATGGCTTGTCCAGGACAGAAAATGGCTAGTTTGAACAACACTGAACATGCATGACAAGCTGAAACTAAAGCTAAGCTAGATCCACTAACTAGGGCGCTAGAACTCCCTTTTTGACAGTTGGGATGTGGTTTGTCGTCCCAAATGTCAAAAAAAGGAGTTCTAGCACCCCAGTTAGTGGGTCTAAAGCTAGGCCTAAACCACTTTTGAGGAAATTGTGGGTTAATTAGGCCGAATAAAAAAAACATGGTTCTCATTCGGGTTTGAAGAAAAAGAGGAAGAGGAGATTTTTTTAAAATTTTAAATTTTTTTCAAGATGGCCGCCATTTTAAAACTTCCTGCAACCATTGATATTTCGACTGTCACTGTTCAAAGACACTTTTAAAATGAAAAACAAGTTGGACAAGAGAACTGAACATATTTACAGGGTCATTTAGAGTTGTACTGGTCTACAATGAATAGTTTTAGATGCATTTGCTTTAACCGCCGAATTTGTGGACTTTTGTGTTTTTTAACTGCATTTTTCAAAAATAAAAAATTATAAAAAAATCCAGGTGGCCTCTTAAAAGGAAGTGGGCGGGGACGAGAAACACGTTTGTTTTTTACTTCGCCTTACACCAGAAAGAATCCAAATGTAAAAAAAATAAAAATCATAAATATCGGTCATCGCTACACAGCCAGTATAATATGATTAGATACGACATCGAAAATTACCCACCCATGCCAGAATATGGCCAGTTGCAACATAAACATACTTATACTAGGTGAGTTTAGGCCTAAGGCTTGAATACCCATTGTCGCCATCAACCCCACCTCTTAGGCATTGATATGCATCCTGATTGGAAGTAGCACTGCCATTGCAAAAGTGGCCCCTAGCCCCCGCCCCCGCCCCACCCCCACCCCCAACCAAAAAAAAAAGGCAAAATGTGTAGGTACTTTTTTTTATTTGGTCTGGAATTTTTTTATTTTCGTAACGACCCACACGGAAAATCCTGCGCACGGGCCTGCTTATAGTTAGAGTGACATATTTGATAGACCCCACCACAGCCCCCTTTTGATTACCACTAGACTACATTACTTCACATTAGGCCTACTGAAATAATTCAAGTCATGGATAAATGTTTATAATTATTTCAATCTTTCTGTTTCATTCAGCATTTCAAAGATGGAAGTGGACCCACACTGCAATATCCTGACCTAATTCCAGCTGATGGCAGTGCAGTTTTCAAGGCCAGAAAGCCAAGGAAACCAAGGGATGAACGTGGACACAGGTTTGCTTTTAAACATGAAATATAAGGATATAATATGGCCCCAAATCATGGCATACTGGCAGAGCTGGTTTGGCAAAGAAAGCGGGACTTTTCCCAACCAGATGATGAATAAATGCCCGTCACCCGATCGGTTGGTCGTTGATCACGTGTCATTGAATTATTTGTCCAAACGCGAGGCACGGCTGTACGGCCCCAGCACGGCAAAAATAGAAGTTCCACATCACGGTACACAGAATTACCATTGCACGATCATGCTTTTGGTGGTCTAACCAATCAGATGACAAGGATTTTATACAGAGGTTGTATAAAACAAATAATGAATGTTTCACATTCGTGCAATGGTAAGAATAATTTCATGAGGTGACGGATTGAATGTGCCCTTCCACTCGGCTTCGCCTCGTGGAGCGTAACGTTGCATCTGTTACCTCATGAAATTATTCTTGCCATTGCACTCATAAACATTCGTGACATTATCCAAAGAAGTTCTTGTTAATGCCCTTACCCAAGTCATGGCATAGACCCGCAATTTGAACACAAAGGATGTCTTTCTCTGTGATGTTCAGTTCTGGCTGCCTGTACTGCAGAGTCCGGCAAAATGACTCTGCCAAGTAACACACTCTGACGGAAAGTAGACAAAACGTATAGTTAGTCTCTGACACCTTGAGCCAATTGCTCAGAGTTTTTTTGCGGATAGGCCTCGTTATTCAGTGTCATGAAATTTCAGGAATACCGGTACTCAAGCCAAAGGCCAGGGTAATCTCTACTTTAATTCCAGGAATATCTGGGTGTGGGTGGTTGGGTAGGTATTACATTCACTGTGTGGACTTCCGAACAAAAGAGGTCCACCTAAGGCCCCCCCCCCCCCAAAAAAAGTCTCCGGTTTCTGGTATGCGCGCGCGTCGCCGTAGCCATGCGCGTCGGCAAAATGAAACAGTTTTTTTTTCAATGAAAGATGATGTCTCAAAACCGCCAAACTCACTGGTTTGACTGGAATCCTGCTGCCGCACAATTTTAACGTGTTTTTAGATTGTGTTATGGTTGAGAATAAGCTTTATGTGGCCTATCTGGACTCCCCTATATTTGCACTAAGTTTAGTCGGGCACCATTTACAGTCATCAGCACACATATGAAGCAAAAAATCAGGTAAAAAAAAAAAAAAAAGCCGCGTCGCCGCACCACTTTTTGGGCAAGCTCCATACCAGAAACCGGAGACTTTTTTTGTGGCCTAAACCAGGTAGCGGCGACGTTGTGTGGACTTGCCCATGTCCACACAGTGTTTCCCCCTCTCTGGAAAACAGGTTGAGAGGCATTTTTGGGTTAGGTTTATTCGTGGCAAAATGAAAAGAGACACTAAAGGGAATCATAGAAAAAAGAGGATTGAAACTGTTTTCACAGTGAGAGTAAAATGAGTTTTTTTCAGAGGTTTTTCTTAACTACACGAAACCAAGGGAATGTCCACACTAGGTATGTAACGTAAACATGGGTGAACGTATAAACACTGCCTTATGGGGTACCGGAACGATGGGAGGTACCCCACAAGGAATGCCCACCGATTGGATGGGTACCGTTTTGATGTATTTATGTGGTTTAAGTAGAATAAGAGGCGTAAGATGCACCTGAGTGCGGTTGATGCGGTTGAACCGGTGCAAGTGGGCGTGGTCATTTTGGAGGAAGAGGAGGGAGGGTGGTACAATGGTGGACGTGAGTGATGGTAGTGGTGGAGGAGGCGGGTGGAGGGGTGGTAAAGAGGAGTGGTGTTGGAGGGAGGAGGCCGACAGGTCTGAACATGTGAACGGTTAAAAAGGGTGAATGACATCATCGGTGTGACGTACGTCACAAACAGGACCGAACAAGTCCGATGAGAACATTGGGATAGCGCAGGACAAGTTTGAACTGGCACCGATTTTTGCGTGTGGATTGGTTCTTTACTTTCGGCTGGTGACGTTATGCGGGAACGAGAGTTTGGGTGAGTAAAAAATTGCAACATTTGGCGGTCTGGTATCATTTCTCTGCCAACAACTGGCCAAATCAAAATCTCTAATTGTAGCGCTTTATGTTTTATAATTTTTTTAGCCTACGTTACAAGTGTTCCTCAGGCTTTATAACTAACAATTCCACCCTCTGAGAAAACATTGGTCGTAAAGTGTAGTGAAGTAAAAAGTATAGCGGGAAACTAAATCTGGAATTTTTCCTCAGACGACATAATTGATACCCCACACTAGTCTCTCAAAAATACACGACAGCGGGTTGTGATAAGTGGAAGTCAGTGCGCGTATACTATTTTAACGGTAAACGTACTGTGCAGTACACATAATATTACCTTATCATCTTCGGAAAACGTAATTAGTAGTGCGGGTCACGCTATGTAAAGCCCCAAAAGGAAGGGTAATCTGATTACAATCTGTAAACTTAAAAGCAGCCGCTTATATTTTAAGACACTGGGAGTGTATAACGTGTATAGGCCTAACGGTAAACATAGTGTTCGGTACATATACGAACGCCTCAGACAACATAATTGACACCGGTCATTATTACAGATTTCGTAAGCTTAAACGTGTCTACATGTTTATGAGGATCATCGGTAACCCTGACGAGGATCATAAAACGGGGTGTCTGTGGCGGATGGATCGATGGACAAATCGATCATAAGGTGGGCATTGGCGCTGAATGAGTTTTATTGTTTAAAGACAATGGTGCAACATTAATTTTTTTCTTTCACAATTTGAAGCCTCGCTCTTTTATTGCTCAGTTACTCACCCCTTGCTCCTTTCTTGCTCCTTTGCTCACGCCTTGCTCTTTTGTTGCTCAGTTACTCACCCCTTGTTCTTTTATTGCTCAGTTGCTTACGCCTCGCTTTTTTATTGCTCAGTTACCAACCCCTTGTACTTCTATTGCTCAGTTGCTTAAAAGAGCGACGCATTGACTCTGTTTTTACCCCAGACACCGCATACAAAAACAAACGCTAATGTAAAGCATATCCAAGGCACCACACTATTCCTCATTTGCATACGTGTGCAAAAATCTTGCACATGCAAATGATCCAATACCAGGGTGAGAGAGCAGGTAGTGATGGGCGCGTACTGTTCGACACCCTGGGGACGAGGTTGGTGAGAGGGTTTAACCAATAGAAGGGAAAAAGAGTCCGATTTTCATATGACACCGTGCAATATAATCGTGACTAGCGTTGTGCATACCTAAACTCTCCGTTACTTGTAAGAGTCATCGACCTGAAATATTGTTTAGATTAATTAAGACGAGTTTATTACGTTGGAGGGTCATTTTCGATAGCTTTTGTGGTGCAAATGAATATAAATCAGACCCAAAATACACAATACTACATGTTTTCTATAGCAATCGCGGTGCGGCGACCCCCATCCCGCAATGCACTGCGGTGAACATTGCGCGACGTCATTAGTACAGAGGGCCTAGGGTTATTGTATTGGTCCATTGCACAAAGTGAAGTCAGCGACCATGTCAAAGCTAAATCATTTAAACTCTGTAGCGGCGTCGCCAGCATCATTAATGCCTGTCACACTAGTACTGTCACGTTCTGATATGGAGTTCGTACAGCGACCTAGCCTTGTTCAATGCGGTCTCTCGGCTTTTTGTCGAAGGGAGATAATCGGGCCCTGCACCCACAATCAACGCGGCTACGTGCGTGTACGACCCTTGTCCGTACGAACGGCTAACACAACCAGCAGCACACACACGTGAGTACGGACTGTACGCATGGTGTAATAAGGCAGTAAACGTAGGCCTACTGTGTTCTGCGTGTGGGTGTACGTACGTACGTGTGGGGGATATACGCGCCGCGTGGCCTGTCGAACGACCGCCTTGTTGGGTCTGCAACTTCCGGGTTTAATGTCTTTCTTTACTTTTTCGTCCAGTTTTGGAAAAAAATGGGCGGGCTTCAGCATATGCGGGTATGCCGTGCATGATTATGTAGGTTCGTCTTGGACCAATCACATGAAACAACCTTCCCAATAGTATGATTAATTCATTTTTAAGCTGACCAATCGTAAGCTTCACAAGAATCATGTGACGTCGCGCGGCATGCATAATGCATTACTCATCATGGCGTCTTCCATGTCTTTTAAGCGAGAGCGAAATGTTCGTCACTTTTTCAACAATTTGACATTGATTCGAGTTTTTCGGCTCGTGTAATGAATCCATTTGAGTGGGCAACGATCGTCTTATGACAACATTACCTGCAGAATTCGTTGGAGCCTTCAATACTGCTTCGGACAGACTGGGACTGAACGACTTTCACCCACAGCATCGGGCCGCCATTGCAGCGTTTCTTCGCGGATGCGACGTGTTTGTTAGCCTATCGCGGGCTGACCAATGAGAATTCAGTATACGCGGGGGTGGTACCTCATTACCGTAATAGGTTTTGCTGGGTCAACTCAAAACCATCAAGGCGTTGGGTTACGCGGACTAGCTCATGCATGTACTGTGTGTGCATGGCGTTGTACGAGTACGTGTGTGTACGTGCGTACGTGCAAGCATAGCCTCGCTGTATGGTACAAGTTACTTTCTCACTAGCAGCGTACGGGCATCGATATGTGCACGCAATTATGCCTTGCCAAGTTGATTAGGATTCTTATCGGTGATTTTTTTTTTATCGGCGAATCGATAAGCCCAACGCCTTGGTCAAGGCTAACAGCGACCTAGAACATTGACTTAAACGCGTCGGGAGCGCCGATGACGGCGTGGGGACTCATTAATACTAGTTGAGGACTTCAGAGGGACTCCAAGGACTTCACTGAAAGCCAAACTGCCACGTTCGTTTTGGACATGCACAAAACAAACGCCGCGCCTCGGCGTTTTGACCAGAACGCGGTAAGGACTCTGCGCAAACTCCTCGCGAACGGCCGTGACGTACTGGCAGCGCACAGGCCGACGGGAACGACGTCAAGAGAACTCCACGGACGTGCATGCATCAGGAATGTGCGTCTCCCCTGCGTCTTCTGCGTCCATGCCGTTAAAAAATTGAAGACTCGTGATGACTATCGCCCGTTTTGACTCGAGTATACACGCCGCACTTATGGCTGCTGACGTCACACGTACGTTTTAAGGTCCCATCAAGTGCGCGATAAGGACTCCACGAACGTCGTTCGAACTTATTGGACGCCGCGAGGACGCAGAGAGAACGCAGTTGAGGACGCTGCGCAGGTGACTTCTAAATGGTCTTTACTGAAACTCGTAGAGAACGCCGCAAGGACGCTATAGAACGCCACAGAGACGTCTTAGACTTTTGGTGGACTTCACAGAGACGCATTGCAAGCAAGCCACTGGAACCATGAATCTAGCGTCCTCATGGCGTTTTGTTACATTTTTAAGAATTTGAACAACGCAATACGAACGCCATGCATGGACGTGACAGTGCAACGGGGCCTCAAGCTTTGTTGACCAGCCGCTGGCACTTCAGCGACGACTATAAACTGCGTATTTGGTAATCACGCATCATTATTTCAGTTCTTATTTTCTTGTACATGTAAATCCTCATTTCAACCTCTGCAAAGTAGCTGTCTCATTTTGCCAGAAAACCTCACATGTACTAAAATCTGGGTGGTATTTTTTTTTGCTTAGCCTTAGGTTCTCAAATCGTATTTTAATAAGAACAAATGTACAAGAATGATTCAAATAAAAAAAAATAACTATTCAAAGAAACTACATTGAATAGAGTAAGCTCAGGTCCACAAAAGATTGTTTTGTATAGCCAGAGTTTGTTAGAGTGACTTTCAGACTGCAGATTTGGGCTAGTAGGCTATTTTGAACAAAACTGGAAGTTCCCCTTTGAGTGTACGCACTATTTTTTGTCTTTCGGCTAATATGTATTTATTTTAAGCACTGAATTTGGATGCGTATAAATATTTAAACATCGCTGGCGGCGTGTGCATGTTGTCACGTGGTTGCTTGGTCTATGCATGCATGATCCATCATGGTCGTTCAATTCATGATTGTTGCCGTTGTACTTCGTGTGATACTGCACGTACATGTATAGGCCTGTATGAATTTCCGTTCATTTTCAGCTGACACTGTCAGCCTAAAATATTGTTTTATTTTCATAAGAAGTACAATTACATAATTTTATTGTGCAAGCTTTGATTATTTTGAATCCACTCTTAAAAATATCGCATCACTAAAAATCCTGTTTCTGAGCATCCAAAATAAACGATTCAGTTCGGTTGGGTTCGGTTCAAAGTGCTATGCGAATTTTAGTTCGGTTTGGCAGTCCGGCTCCACTACTCATTAACACTGTATATAACATTTTGATGGAAAAAAAAATGTTCAGGTGTAGCGGTGTTCTGGCTACTGCATTTGAAACTAGTCTCTTTCTCGGCTTCAGTCGCTTCTTACCCAATTGAATGCTCAAATCTATTGTGTGCTGCACCAGGGAAGACTAGGTAAGCACAACCCAGCTGTTTGATGTACCGCAACCTCTGGAATTGTGGGGTGTCGATGATCCGAACGCAGAGTGGATGCAGCTCAATTTGTCCATGGATCCGGTCGTTAAATACCTAATATGACAAATCACAAACACAGTAACAGCACATTAGAGAGGTCCATGACAATTTTTTTTCTTAGAAACATATTTTGTGCACCTTTGCGCTCCCCTCAGGCTTAAATGTATGAAAAATATCGTTTGTTGGTTAACTGTATTGAAAAGTGCACTTCTTTAACCAGTTCGCGCCAGGATTATTTTTAGGTTGAAAATTTCTATTTTCGAAAAAGGCAAGATATAGCAGCCAACTTTCGCTATACAGCCAAACGCCACAAATCCTGATTCGCAAAAGGTCATTTGAACAGTATATTTTAGCGGTTTGCGGTAACACCATGTGGTAATAACTACTGCTTAGAAGATATTTATTTCTGAAAAGAACTTGTCCTGCTTATTATCAACTTTCGCTAAGTAGTTTTCGTTCTGATGAGAACAGTCCTGCTTTAAGTTCTAAAAGAACTTGTCTTTGGTCTCAACGTTTCGATTAGCCTGCTCTAGTCATCGTCAGTCTCCTAAGCAGTAGTTATTACCACATGGTGTAACCGCAAACCGAAACGATACCGATACTCCACAAGGAAAGCCTCAAATCTTACACAAGGTGAGTCAAAAAAAGCGGCACCCAAACCCCCAAAAATATATTTCATATTTAAAACAAGTCAGGTGTGTTTACAAACACAAATGCCCCGCAACCGTGACTGTTCCCATGACATAACACCACTCTTTTAACATCAACTTATGTACCTTGGTCACATGGAATGTTCATTGACAGCATTAGTGTCTTCTGTAGGTTTTATATGAATTAATCCCTAATCCCTATGATCTCAGAATAAATACAAGATTTCTATTGCTTTAGCCACTGTGACCTTGACCCTTGACCTTTCGGCCCCAAATGCAATAGGCTTCTTAGGATTACCAAGAACAATACACAAACCAAATTTGAAGTTCATATGTAAAGTATTTCTCAAGTTATCGCGCTGACATAATTTCTATTGTTTCAGCCACTGTGACCTTGACCCTTGACCTTCGGCCCCAAATGCAATAGGCTTCTTAGGGATACCAAGAACAATACACAAACCAAATTTGAAGTTCATATGTTAAGTATTTCTCAAGTTATCGCGCTGACAAGATTTGTCCGGACACCCCCCCCCCCCACACACACACACACCCAGACTTACATTACATACCTAGTGTGGACATTGCTTTGTTTTCGTGTAGTTAAGAAAACTCGGTACAAAAAATAACTTTACTTAAACTGTGAAAACTCTTTTAACCCAATTTTTTTTTCTATGATTCCCTATAAGGTTTCTCTTCATTCTGCTACGGATAAACCTAACCCAAAAATGCCTCTAAACCTGTTTTCCAGAAAGGGCAAAACCTTATGTGGACACGGCTTAGTCCACATAAGGTTAACACAACCTGCATTATGTGGACCTCTTTTGTTCACAAGTCCACATAGGGTATGTAACACAAACTCACCCCCAACAACACACACGGGGCCCTCAATAAGCAATTAACAGGGCTACACACACTGCAAACTTATCCTATTCACTGGACTAATGGACTTTACATACCCCCAAAACACAACTTAAATTGACCTCTACTACATAAACAGTTAAACACACAAAGTCCGAGAAGTCTGTGGAGGCAGACCGTAGTTGTGTTGAACTTGAACTTGGCCACTGTGCACAGCCTGTTGTGGTATAAATATCGCTCTGTGCAGGCCCACCGCGGCGTGTTAACAAATATGCAGTTGCGGTAAGAAATACCGGCGTACAAATATACTGTAACAGGGTGAGTCAAAAAAGTGTAACCCAAACCCAAAAAATTATATTTAATGTTTAAAAAAAAAATATGTATTACCAAACATAATAATGACTGGAAAGCCAATTTCATGAGCTACTTTTAGATGGAAAAATACTGAAATTTGTTAATCCGTTCAAAGAGTATCACCATTTAAACACAATGACCCTAAAACCCGTCTCGTACAAAACAAATTGCGATTTCATGAATCGTCATAAAATCTCAGGTTAAACGTTAAAAATATTCAACAAAGTCCTTTTGAAGGGCTCGTCTTTTAAAAAAAGGAAATTTTATAAATCATACTGTTTGCCTAACCGGGGTTGTTAATAACGATATTGTGCACAACAGGTGGTGACAGTTGTTGAAACAAATATTCTGTGCCATTTCCTTTGTTGTTCCAAACAGTCAAAACACACAATAAATTGCTTTTTTGGACGAGGAAGGTTTTAGGGTCGTTGTGTTTAAATGATGATATTCTTTAAACGGATTGAGCAATTTCAGTATTTTTTTCATCTTAAAGTAGCTTATGAAATTGGCTTTCCAGTCATTATTATTTTTGGTGCTACGTATTTTTATGCCCCGCGGCGAAGCCGAAGGGGCATACTGTTTCCGCCTTGTCCTTCCGTGGGTGTGTGTGGGGGTGGGTGCTCTTGTATTGTATTACGCTCGAGGACAGACAACAAAAGTAGCACAAATGAGCCTTTGACCCTCGGACGACGGTGCCTATTGTTAAAACCGGTCCTCGATCGTACGGTTATGTGCTTAGTCTATGGGAAAGTGTTATATTAGAGGGACAAAGGACAACACAATAGTTGTCCTCAGGCGTATAGTAAAAAAAGAAGGGGTGTGGGGGTGGGTGTGTGGGTGTGTGTGTCCGGATAAATCTTGTCAGCGCGATAACTTGAGAAATACTTAACATATGAACTTCAAATTTGGTTTGTGTATTGGTCTTGGTAATCCTAAGAAACCTATTGCATTTGGGGCCACAAGGTCAAGGGTCAAGGTCATAGTGGCTAAAACAATAGAAATTTTGTCAGCGCGATAACTTGAGAAATACTTTACATGTGAACTTCAAATTTGGTTTGTGGATTGTCCTTGGCAATCCTAAGAAGCCTATCGCATTTGGGGCCACAAGGTCAAGGGTCAAGGTCACAAAAGAAATTTTGTCAGCGCGATAACTTAAGAAATGCTTAACATATGAACTTCAAATTTGGTTTGGGTATTGTCCTTGGCAATCCTAATGTAGTGAGACGTCTTTTACGAGGCACCGTACAATTGGCACACAGCCCAGAAAAATGTATACAAACGCGCACTCAGTGCCGTGAACGCGCGAATATCATCCCTTTTCTGCCTGCACACCAAAGTGTGAGTATCGTGTGCATAAACTTGTGCTTGAAAACCAACATTTGAGTTTCAAATGAGCGAAATTTTTATTTTCTTTACATTCTAATGTCACAATGCAAGTTCTCTGCTACCGCTGGGCTAGGTTTTAGTTTATTTCATGTTGACAAAAGGAGTGATTGGGGGGTGAATTAGTCTTCACAATCACACAGTTTTAATCACCGTGTGTCACCTGTTGATTTATTGCAATACGACTGTTTCATGTCAGGTGCAATATGGAGGCCTAGTTCACAACACAGCCGTACACTTGCCAGGCGTTCGGGGAACTTCGGGGAACCTAATTAAAATATTAGAACCAGTGAATCTTAGGAACCTCACTTTGAATTTGGGAACTTTAGAAATACAACCTTTGTAATTTAATATATTTTATCATTGGCAACTGTGTCACAATTTATAGAGCTAGAAACTGATCTATTATCTTATCAATACTTTTTGTAACAGTTTTTGAGAGTTCAAATTGAGATCATGTGTTAATTTAAACTATTGTAATCGATTTGTGTGAACAAGTTCATGAGACCAATCATAATTTGACTCCTGCTTTTATTTGTTTCTGTTTGGCTTGATTTGTCCTTGGCGTCCTTAAATCTAATCATTTGAGCGGACCTCCTTACTGGCGTACCGCTACACTAAGAAGCCTATTGCATTTAGGGCCGAAAGGTCAAGGGTCAAGGTCAAAGTGGCTGAAACAAAAGAAATGTTGTCAGCACGATAACTTGAGAAATACTTTACATGTGAACTTCAAATTTGGTTTGGGTATTGTCCTTGGTAATCCTAAGAAGCCTATTGCATTGGGGGCCGAAAGGTCAAGGGTCAAGGTCACAGTGGCTAAAACAAAAGAAATTTTGTCAGCGCGATAACTTGGGAAATACTGGTACTTTACATGAACCTCAAATTTGGTTTGTTTATTGTTCCTATTGCATTTGGGGCCACAAGGTCAAAGGGTCAAGGTCACAGTGGCTAAAACAATATAAATTTTGTCAGCGCGATAACTTGAGAAATAATTTACATGTGAACTTCAAATTTGATTTGTGGATCGTCCTTGGCAATCCTAAGAAGCCTATTGCATTTGGAGCCGCAAGGTCAAGGGTCGAAGTCACAGTGGCTAAAACAAAAGAAATTTTGTCAGTGCGATAACTTGAGAAATACTGTACATGTGAACTTCAAATTTGGTTTGTGGATTGTTCTTGGTAATCCGAAGAAGCCTATCGCATTGGGGGTCGCAAGTTCAAGGGTCAAGGTCACAGTGGCTAAAACAATAGAAATCTTGTATTTATTCTGAGATCATCATCAAAGGGAGGGATTAATTCATATAAACCTACAGAAAACACGAATGCTGTCAATGAACCTTCCATGTGACCAAGGTACATGTAAGTTGATGTTAAAAGAGTGGTGTTATATGTGATGGGAACAGTCACGGTTGCGGGGCATTTGTGTTTGTAAACACACCTGACTTTTTTATGAAAGTGCTTCTTACTTAAGGTTGCTTTTTAAGAACACAGGCAAACTGGTGAGATTCATGAAGTTTTTGAGATGAAAGTTCACTTTTCTTAATTTGTGTTTGTAAGTAACAGAAGATGTATAGAAAGATTTGTTTTGAATTTTCCTTAATTATTTTTGAATTTCAGCCATTGATTGTTATGAACTTGTGTTTTTTTTACCATGTGGTTGTATCTTGCATAAGGGATTTTTCTTTGTTCACTCTTCCTATACCTTAACACATGGTTGGAGTTGCCCGCTCAGTTGATGACTGATTAAGGACTAGGGTGTCCTGCTTTCTAAAGTGGCCAAGACCTTTGTTTATTACATGATTATAATTCATGAGTTCAGGTTGACTTAGCCTAGTGCACATGTCCCCATGCTTGAAGTTTATGATCAAGATTAAGCTTTTCTCACAGTGTACATTGCACATGTACTTGCCTTGTATTATGAATGGACTGAATGGTTTCGTTGTTGAAACTTTAACTTATACATGTCAATTTCTTGTCTTTGCAGGTTGTTAAAGTTTGACTGTAGTAGATTTGTGTCTTTTCTTAATACTGCGTTGGTTTTTAAGGTTGGTTTTAATTTTTAAGCTTTTTTTTTTAGTGTTGCCTTTAACTTTGATTTTCTTAGGTCTTTCATTTCTAAAAGTTGGTCTTAGGAATTGGTTTGAAGGTTTTGAGTTTTCATTTGGCCTGATCGTGTCGGATTATTCATCTGGGGTCAAGTAGCTAGCCTACTTGTTACTTTGTTTTCAAGGTTCTTTTTAGTGTCTTTTATTTCAGGTCTTTTAAAATTGGTCCCTACGGTCGGTTGTCAAGTCCAGTATTAAGGAAGTAGAAATATTTTCTTTTATTTATCTTTTAGATATTTTTGTTCTGACAATTGTTGAATAAAGTAATTTGTTTGATATGTTTTTTATGAAATTTCTCTGTCTCTATTCTTTCAGATCTCCCAACGCATCCTTACCAGATCCCTTGTTAGATTTTTCTATCCCCCAGAGTAAATTTATTGAGTTATTTTTTTTTTGTGAAGTGTGTCAAATTTCCAGGCTACATATATACGAAACAAATGGGGGATTAGCGTGAGAAAGTACAAGGATTTTTGGAAATAATGTGCTTTGCCCCCCTCTATAAAAAAAATCCTGGCGAAGCCCATGGCTGTTCACGTGTATACAGACAGCCGGATCGTCATCCGATGCGAGCAGGTTATAACATTTAAAATTATTCATGCTTTTCCAGATAACTGAGGGTGCTGTTGCTTTGATGCTCATGTACTTTCAGGAAGACACTTTTCAATTAAGTTTTTTTCTGTTCAAATGTGAACGCAAAAAATTAATTTGCTCACTGAAAACATATCAGCAAAATTTTCTCATAGGCTATACTGCCATAAACTGACACAAGAATGAATCACCTCAGAAAATGAAATTTAGGACAGCAAAATATCGAAAGTTCTGGCAAATTTTTGTGCCGTAAAATCTATAACATTGAGGTTTCTGCCTGAAATGACATCACACTTTTGCTAATGAATGTGGAAATTCGCACAAGCATAAAAACAAAAAAAGCACCAAAATACCCTTTAAAATGGCTAACCCATCATTGAAAATAAGGTAGAGTAAGGCCGGGACACAAAGATGCCCTTAAAAAAATGAAATTACATTACATGGGCTCTATAAAACACACTGGAACTAGAAAGCATTCAATACATTTGTATAAAATATTGACTGCTTCGAATGGTATAATGAAACTAGGCTCCTGAAGTGATCCATTGAGCATTCTATTTTTCCAGAGGCGAAGCCGAGGGAAAATAGAATGTTCCATAGGTTCGAAGCCCCATAGGTCCGACGCCTATAGGTCCGTCAATTAAATTTACTTTTACGGTCCATAAGTCCGACGATTCATAAATCCCGCACCTCATGAATACAAACATCGCGTAAAATGTTAGCGCCAACAAGTGATAGAGTATTACACATTCAAATTTAGGAGTGCACCATGCTCTTAGCTCCCCCCCCCCCCCCCCCCCGGATTTACGCCCTTGGTATTAACCCTTGCGCAAAAAAAAATCCTGCGCGGTGGCAGACTCTGACACGGTTAACACAGTGCACACTGAGTGAACGTTGAAAAATATTACTATTACATATTAAAAAAAATCTTCAATAATAAATTGGTAAAAAGAAAACCATGCACTTGAAAAACATTCTGGCCCAGTTCAAAGAGTGAATACTACACTCATAAAAAGAAATCATACCCTTAAAAAAGGCCTACAAAAAAAACAAAAATGCGTAAAGCAGTACCCACAGTAACCCAAACTTGATCTAGTCTCTGAAAAAAATGTATATCCATTATTTATTTCAAAAGAGATTTGTGCCATGTGCAGTTAGTATTAAAAAAAAAAGTGAGTGGTCGTTGACAAATATTACTATGATAAAACAAGTCTTGAATAAAAAAAAATTGGTAAAAAGAAAACCATGCACTTAGAGTACCATTGTGGCCCAGTTCAAAGAGTGCATACTAAATTGGTAAAAAGAAAACCATACCCTTGAAAAAACCCTACCCCCAAAAACAAAAAGGCGTATAGCAGTTCGCACAGTCACCCAAACGTGATCCGGTCTCTGAAAAAAATATTAATATCAATCAGTCATTAATTTCAACCAAGAATTTTAGGCATTATTAAGGTTTACTTACTATCTGAATAAAAGGTTAAATTTACCATTAATTTTATCAGCGACGGCTATGTCATGAGTACTGTATACCATATTGAAAATGGCCTCCGCGCGGTACTATTCTCTTGACTGAGCCGACGTCGATAAACAGTAAATTTCACTTTTCAAGCAGATGATGAGTTAACATGTTGTACCGGTTACACCTCTATGTTCTGACACCCTAAGATACAGAATCGGTGGGTGAGGTGTTAGAACCAAAGATCTTATAGCGCCGAAGGCGCAAGATGGGGAACTCCATAGAAATTGCGAAATCGTCATGGACGCCATTCCAGTAAGCAAACCATTGTGAAAACCATTGTTTGCACAATGGTTTGCTTCGAGTAAGCGAACCACTGTGCAAACAATGGCTTGCACAATGGTTTGCTTGCTCGAATGGCGCCCATGGCGATTTCGCAATTTCTATGGAGTTCCCCATCTTGCGCTATCGGCGCTATAAGATCTTTGGTTAGAACAACGGGGTCCGACGCCTCATAAGTCCGACAACAGAAAAACGAGGCGTTTAATTTGTCGGACTTATGAGGCGTCGGACTTATGAGGCGTCGGACCTATGAGGCTGAATAAATAAATGGTATGCCTCATAAGTCCGACGCCTCATAAGTCCGAAATTTTGGACTTATGAGGTGTCGGACCTTAGGCGTCGGACTAATGGCACGGACCCAAAACAACATAGCACAGCAGAGAATAAACCACACCATTTTATAGCTCCATGGTAAAGCACAGTACAGCAGCGCATAGCAGAGCATAGCAAATGCAACAAAACACAGCTAATTATGGACCAGGCATATATCATTTGCATGTATCACAAGAGTAACCTTGAGTAAAGATCTGGTACTTAACACCTGTAAATTTATACCATCTGGCTGGCTGTTATATTTAGAGAAAATCTAGAATGTTAGATTGACTGATAGTTGGAATAAAAAGCGCTATTGACGGAGTCATGTTCCGTGAACAAAAAGGTTGTGCATGGGTTTTTCAATGTTTTCTAAAAAAAAAAAGGTGTAAACTCCACTGCGCTGAAATTTCAACAGCGGTCACGGTTTTGAACGTTCCTCTTTGGATTTTGAGTAATGTTTCGACTGGAAAGGAACAAAATACATGAAAAACACAACCCAATGAATAGCAAAGCATGGAAAGGTACATGATGCAAGTAAAGCACAGCAGAGCAAAGCACATAATGAAATAACATAGTGGGGTTCAAAATAATAGACATTTTCATCAGCCATTTCGTGGTACAAAAAAATTCTTTTTTTTTCTTGTAAAATTCTACTGTAATATACACAACACGACAGAGTCCTCCATAGGCAATCAAAACAAGAACATACAAGTAATCATATCAGATTCAGTAACAAATTAACCAACCTTGTAGTGGAGGGAATCTACAGAGACTCCGGCGATGGCGTGGTCACGCAATTTCTTCAGTTTCTGGAATTCTTGAAGCAACTCTAAGCGTTTCCCTACTGCGCTGCAAGTATGATGGAGAGTATGACGCAACAAAAAAAGCAGATTAAAAAGCAACAATGTACAGAATGCACATAAGATTTGAAGGTAATTTTTACCATGAATAGAAGACATTTGAGCTAACATTCCTCGTGCCATGGACGCTCTCAAATCATTCACCAAAGTGGCATTCAACAAAAGGGTGGCAATTTTTTTTTTTTTTTTGACAGACAATAAAACCATACAACTTGTACGTTTTTCATCATCTCCGTCGAGACTGCACACATTTTTTGGAAAGATTTGAATCGCAATGCTTTTCTAATAAAGGTTGACGATCAAACATTTGGATATATTCAGGACATCTGTAATGATGAAGTACAAGTAAGCAAACATGTCAAAAAGGAGTGAGCTTGTGATTGCATCATATGTGACATGAAATTTCTTCTGTGTGTTTGTGTGGTTCTGAAATTTCTGGAAATTCATTGTTTCGGATAGTATGCTCTGCACGTCATCAGAAGACTCTCAAAAGAGATTCCAATTCAAAATTTCACTCGGTGCAACTCCATTTTCATAAAATGGAAATCTTTTAAATGCCTAAATTAATCAATGTACATGTATCCTAAGAACGATATACTTATTCTTACCTCACACCAATCTCCTTGAGGACCTTATACGTCAGGTAGTCCAGACCTTTGCCAGATACTTCTTGTTCTATTCACAAAGCAAAAGCAAAGTTTTATCTCTCAGTTAACGTTCCCTTTATCAGCCAAAATGTGTTGTTATTCCTTAGCATAAATGCATGTACATGGATGCAGCATACAATACTTATATTCTTTTTACAATTTTATTTTAGCGCAACGTGCAAAGGACAGAGGTTAAGGTAGAAAACAGTTGTACTTTTTTTTTGGGGGGGGGGGGGATTTTAGTTTTCTTTTGCAATATGCTTTCTTTTGCATTATTAAGACTGATCGAGCAATTTATGACAGACCTCGACCAGGCAAGGCAGTCGATAGAGTTGACGATGAAGGTATTACATGTAGTTCACGGTGAAAATACTGTACTGTACATCCCATGTGTTTGGGGTCCGCTCATAAGTCCGACGCCTCATAGGTCCGACAGAATCGCATCCCCTAACCAAGTAAAGGCCCATATGTCCGACGCCTCAAAGGTCCGACGCTTCATAAGTCCGACGCCTCGTAGGTCCGACGCCTCATAGCTCCGACGCTTCGTAAGTCCGACAAATTAAACGTCTCGTTTTTCCGTTGTCGGACTAATGAGGCGTCGGACATATGAGGCGTCGGACCTATGAGGCGGAATAAATAAATTGTATGCCTCATAAGTCCGACGCCTCATAAGTCCGAAATTTCGGACTTATGAGGCGTCGGACCTATGAGGCGTCGGACTTATGATACGGCCCCATGTGTTTGACTCTTGCTGAGGAAAAACATACATGCAGCAACAACAATTTAACCAGTTGTCATGGTAGAGGTTCGTGACAGTGTATAAGGCCAAAAAAAAGTCTCCGGTTTCTTGTATATGCGCGCGCGCGTCGCCGTAGCCAAGCGCGTCGGCAAAATGAAAAAGTTTTTTTTTCAATGAAAGATGATGTTACAACCCGCCAAACTCACTGGTTTGACTGGAATCCTGCTGCTGCACAATTTTAACGTGTTTTTAGATGGGGTTATGATCGAAAATAAACTTTATGTGGCCTCTCTGGGCTCCCATATATTTGCACGAAGTTTAGTCGGGCACTATTTGCATTCATCTACGAAAGCCCGTTAGTGCCATCGAATGTATAAATGCAAGTATATGTTTCCCATATTGTTTTTGTGAAGTCTATTTTTAGTAACAGTCTTGTTTTTTGGAAGTATATGTTTCCCGAGTCTTGTTTTTTGCAAGTATATGTTTGGCGAGTCTTGTTTTTAGCAAGTATGTTTCGCGAGTCTTGTTTTTGTGAAGTCTATTTTTAGTAACAGTCTTGTTTTTTGGAAGTATATATGTTTCCCGAGTCTTGTTTTTTGCAAGTATATGTTTCCCGAGTCTTGTTTTTTGCAAGTATGTTTCGCAAGTCTTGTTTTTGTGCAGTCTATTTTTAGTAACAGTCTTGTTTTTTGCAAGTATATGTTTGGCGAGTCTTGTTTTTTTTTTAAAGTATATATGTAGGGACCCGATCTGCTACTCCCCACACAAAATTGTTGCACCCCTATTTTTATTTTTGGAATAGTCCTACTAGCTTGTACATGTACTTGTAGCTGCATAACATGTGGTCCATGTAATAATGGTACGGTATCCGGTCACTTCGGCACCTTGGCAACTCGGCACCTGCCAACTCGGCACCTTGGCAACTCGGCACCCACCAACTCGGCACCCACCAACTCGACACCCACCAACTCGACACCTGTACAAAAACCAATTTGGCACCTAGCCGACTCGGCACCTGACCAACTCGGCACCTCCCCATGTGCAAAATTCGAAATGTTTCTCAGTAATCAGTCCGCACATTACTGATTTTCATTGAGCTGGTAAATACGCTGTTACTAATGGCCTAATTGTTTTTATAATGGAACTGGCGATGTCAGATTGCAACGTTCGTTGATCCGTTTTCCTTGCTCCATGGTTCCTCCGATATTTTGAGTACGGGTAGCAAGCACTGTACGCTGGCCGTCACTGGTCAACACTTGTCCTTCCAAGTCCACGGCAACGGTGCACTGCGCCTGGCCTGGCCGCACATCCACACCGGCCATCGCCACGGTGCACGACCAGTGACAGTGCCATGCTTGACCGCACATGCCCTCCGGCCATCGCCACTGCGCACGGCCGGTGACAAGTGCCACGCCTGGCCGCACAGCGCCAACATTTCCAGCCCCCCCCCCCCCCCCCCCCTAAAAAAATCGAGATGGGGTATTGGTTGTGAATAACGGCAAAACAAAATTTTGCTTTCGGGATGACAGGTGCCGAGTTGGTCAGGTGCTGAGTTGGAAGTTGTGAGAAAGAAGCAAAATTTGGGTGCCGAGTTGGCCAGGTGCCGAGTTGGCTGTGTGCCGACTAAATGCCGAGTTGGCGAGGTGCCGAGTTGGCAAGGTGCCGAGTTGGTGGGTGCCGAGTTGCCAAGGTGCCGAAGTGACCAGATACCATACCATTATTACATGGACCACATGTTATGCAGCTACAAGTACATGTACAAGCTAGTAGGACTATTCCAAAAATAAAAATAGGGGTGCAACAATTTTGTGTGGGGAGTAGCAGATCGGGTCCCTACATACATGTATATACTTTTTAAAAAAACCAAGACTCGCCAAACATATACTTGCAAAAAACAAGACTGTTACTATAAATAGACATCACAAAAACAAAACTTGCGAAACATACTTGCAAAAAACAAGACTCGGGAAACATATACTTGCAAAAAACAAGGCTCGGGAAACATATACTTCCAAAAAACAATACTGTTACTAAAAATAGACTTCACAAAAACAAGACTCGCGAAATATACTTGCAAAAAACAAGACTCGGGAAACATATACTTGCAAAAAACAAGACTGTTACTAAAAATAGACTTCACAGAAACAAGACTTAGTTGCGAAACATACTTGCAAAAACAAGATTTGCCAAATTTATACTTGCAAAAAGCAAGACTTGCCAAACATATACTTGCAAAAAACAAGACTCGGGAAACATACATGCAAAAAACAAGATTCGCCAAACATATACTTGCAAAAAACAAGATTTGCTAAACATATACATCCAAAAAACAAGACTTGCTAGACATATACATCCGAAAAACAAGACTTGCTAAACATATACATCCGAAAAACAAGATTCACCAATCTTGGTCGCATTTTTTTTTTTTGGTCGCATTTTTTTTTTTTTGGTCGCATTTTTTTTTTTTGGTCGCATTTTTTTTTTTTGGGTCGCATTTTTTTTTTTGGGTCGCATTTTTTTTTTGGTCGCATTTTTTTGGGGCGTCGCATTTTTTTTTGGGCGGCGCATTTTTTTATTGGGCGGCGCATTTTTTTGGGGGGCGGAGGATTTTTTTTAGGCGTCGCATTGACGTGCCTGTCATATGATGCCCATGTGATGTCTGGGAATACCAAGGAATCAGGCGCGGCTCTATTTGAAAAGCTTATTTTCTATTTGAAAAGCTTATTTATAAACGATTAGTATCTTTTATCACTAAAAATAATATTCTTTCTGAGTCTCAATTTGGATTTAGACAAAATCGTTCAACTGAATTAGCGATATCATATGTAGTTAATAAATTATGTAATGCAATTGATCAAAATAATTTCTCCATAGGCATTTTCTTAGACTTATCAAAAGCATTTGATACTGTAAATCACGATATTCTTATAAGTAAATTAGATCATTATGGAGTGCGGGGAACAGCTTTGGACCTTCTGAAAAGTTATCTGTGTAACAGAAACCATTATGTATCGTTTCAATCTGTAACTTCAACTAGCCGATCATTACGTGTGGGGTACCTCAGGGTTCCGTATTGGGGCCTCTACTATTTCTTCTTTATATTAATGATATATGTAATACTTCAGACACTGTAACATTTTGTTTATTTGCAGATGATACAAGTTTGTTGTACACTCACGATAATGTAGATGAAGCAATAAGTAACCTAAATATGGAACTTGAAAAAATCGGTACATGGCTTCTCGCAAATAAATTATCTATTAATGTCGTCAAGTCAAATTATATGATTTTTTGTGCCAATCAGTACAAGTACACACAATCTGTTCCTCTGAATTTAAATAACTCAAGGCTTAATCAGGTTAAGATAACTAAATTCCTGGGTGTAACTATTGATGAAAATCTCACTTGGAAACATCATATTGATGAAGTAGCGACAAAAATATCAAAGAACGTTGGAATAATGAATCGTTTGAAATATTATCTTCCGAGTAAGATTTTATTAACATTGTATAATTCATTTGTTTTACCATACTTAAATTACTCAATCTTGACCTAGGGCAGTTTGCCATCTAAGTGTAACAAATTACTTACTTTACAGAAGCGAGCAGTTCGTGTAATTTCAAATGCTGGCTATCGTGATCATTCTGCTCCATTTTTTGCTAAATTAAATATATTACAATGTAATGACTTATATTACTTTAATTTAGGAAAATTAATGTTTAAATTTAAGCATAATCTACTCCCGTCCTGTTTTGATTCTTGTTTTACCTTAGCATCTAATGTTCATGTATATAACACCCGAAGTAGTGCTAAGGGAAATCTGTTTGTCCAATTTAACAGGACGTCAATGTCAAAAAACAGTGTGATTCATCAAGGCACCTTGTACTGGAATAGTTTAGATGATTCTCTTAAACTGTTACCCTCACTATCTGTCTTTGTCAAAAATTAAAAAACTCATTTTATCGAATCATATTCATAAATTGAAATGTTATATGTGCATTAATATTTAGGTCTTGTCTCACACACTTGTCCTGTCTGTCTCCCGTTGTGTTTTGTTTGTCCCTTGTTACAGTACTTTGGTTGTATGTCTGTCCATAGGTAAGGGCACAAAAGCGTCTGCTTAACCTTATACCTAACTGTTGTCATTTAATATTACACTTATTAGTAATCACTGTGTACATAACTGTCATATATATTACTACTGACCTTTCTTAATTTATACATGATTGTACATAATTGTAATGAATGACATCATTGAAATAAATGTTTCCAACTATTAAAGCAAGACAACGAGAATGCTCTCCACGGCAACGCACCAGACGAAAATTGAACTCACTTGCGGGGCCTGAAAGCGGTGTGGTACCCACATACATCGCGCGCGCAGATTTTTTTTGATGTCATCACGTGATGCATACATTAACATAATTAGCAAAACAAAATGTCATATCATCATTTTTTTGCAATGAGTGACCTTCATTGAGATGATATATGAATAAAAAAAAGCAGCGTCAGGTTGCAACATTATTTCCTTTTGTTCAAGGCGTGGCTGGGGGGGGGGGTAAACAAACTCCACATCTCTGTCCATTTCTAGCCCCACTTGTGTGGCCTCGGTATTGCTGCGATGTACGTTAGGCCACACGTCTGGTTTCCCAACCTACTGAGGAGTTTAGTCCAAACTGGCGCATATGGACTCCAGAAACTTTGCCCAAATTTCCAAAAAAATTGGCACATAGATTACCTAATCTACCCGGAGGGCAAAAGCTGAGAAATCATAGAATACTACTATATAAAGTGGTATGCCCAAAAAAAAGCCAAAAAAGGGTGCGCCAGTGTTTGGACTAAACTCCTCAGTAGATTGGAAAACCAGACATTTGGCCTAAACGTACAGCTCAGCAATACGGAGGCCACACAAGTGGGGCTATATGTCCATTTCCAAAGAAATGCCTGAAAAAAATAACGCTAACTCCGCCCCCCCCCTACTCTGGCACCCAAAAACAATTATTAATACGCATGTGCCCACAGACAGAGCCTGCTTTAGAAGAGTTAGAGGTTGGAATGATCATGAAAGCAGCTGTAACCACTTGCAAAATGTGTAACTCAGGTGCGGGGGGGGGGGAATTCAAAATTCTAAGGCTCTCGTAATTGAAAAGGGGGGTGGGGGCATCACCAAAAAGGGACACTTTTTTGGGGGGGGGGCTACATTTTCTGCTGATGTTGGCACTTTTTTTCACCGTACACCTGCCCTCCGTAAAATCAAATAGTGGGGGGGGGGGGGGGGGGGGGGGAGGCTGGAACCATCTTTCAAAATAGGGGCACTATTCAAAACCAGCCACTATGCAAACTATTTATGTACCTGCCCCTGTGTACAATCACTTTCCATTAGAATACTGCAACATTTAGCTCAGCAGGCTATTTTCTGTAAAGCAACAATTACAGTAATACTTTTTGAAAGCTTCAGTACTATTTTGTCTACTTTCATTAGTTTTGTTGAAGTAAGCTGAGCCGAGCTGAAACAGTTGCTTGTTATATTTTTCTTCAGGCGACGCCAAAAAAAAAAAATGCGCCGCCCCAAAAAAAATGCGCAGCCAAAAAAAAAGGCGACGCATAAAAAAAAGGCGACGCCCCCAAAAAAATGCGACGCCCAAAAAAAAATGCGACGCCAAAGCGACGCCAAAAATAAAAATGCGCCGCCAAAAAAAAAATGCGACCCCCCAAAAAAAATGCGACCAAAAAAAAAAATGCGACCAAAAAAAAATAATAAAATGCGAGGCCGTTGGCACATATGGAACACCATACATACCAGAAACCGAAGCCTTTTTTTTTTTGGCCTAAGTTTTTTTTTTTTTTTTTTTTACTATTGCATACAAACATACAAGTAAACGTTTCCGGTAATTTCTAAACTATTAAAAATTTATCAAATACATGTACATGGTTCTCCTTACCTTTAAACAACGGTGCTACCTCAGCAAATCCTTCAGCAGTTAGATAATTGCAGATGTCGTCCGGTGTCCAGTTCTCCAAGTCAGCAAAATCAAAGTGGTTGTTTGCCAAGCTGGTCAATGGCAGACTCCCTTCGACTTTCCTACGTTTGGTAGGCTGGGAGGACATTTCTGCATCTGCGTCTGTTTGGTTTTGCACAATCGCCAGGTGTGGCTACACTGTGCAGTTGGCCCAATGCAAGGAGATGCAAACTGATTTTTGGTGCATTTATGTAGATCAGGCAATTTGGAGTGGGCAAAAATTATTTAAAGCTAGGAACTAGTCGTGGGATATAGTATTTTCAAAGCTACATCAATACATGTATATTTTCAAGCAAAAGGGA